TTGCATTCTGAAAGGAAGGAAGGAAGGAAGGAAGGAAGGAAGGAAGGAAGGAAGGAAGGATTGGGGGGGATCTTGGGGAGCAAAAAATAAAATACTGAGGGGCACATGCAACCTATGGGCTGCAGGTGAGTCAGTGTTGCTCAACATGTTAATGTATCTAGGGGACTTTGGGTTTCTTTGGGGCGGGGGGAAGTGGTGCTACTTTACAGAGTACTCTTCTTAAAATCATCTTTTTCATCAGATGCCATTGGATGACAGTCTAAAGGCAGTATTGTTGGAATTAATACCTCAGCCCAAATATCCTTGCACACAGCAGCAAGCTGTAATTGCACAACTGTGAGCAAGCATCTGTGTACTCTTACCTGCAGAATAGATGATTGGTGCTTGGGTTGGCCGAAAAGGTTGAGCAAGTTTATAAAGGAGAAAGGAAGTTCAAAACACAGATTTAGGTTCAGTTCTAGCAGACAAAAAACCATGGGCTGGACAGGTCTGCCTTTCTCTTCTGCTGCTTTGCACAATAATTCCAGAGAGACTCTGTTGATGCCCCCAGTGGGAAACATCAGACAACAGCTTCAATGAGTTAGACAGCAATAACTTAATGACAAGGAAATTAGATACAAAAACTCTATTAAAATAGCATTAAGATGAGGATATAATGCTACAAAAGCAATGAAATGAGAAGCAATTGAAGGTAATAAGGCTGGGGAGGGGGTGGAACTGTGGAAAGGTAATATACTGCACTGTACTGTTTAATAAATCTACTCAAGGAACTAATGAACAGGAGGGGGACTCAGGGGGCGGTGGCAAAAACAAACTCTGAGGCCAGCAGCACGATGCGAATGGCAAGGGAAATGCCAATAACAGGAAGCTGAAATACAGTGACTCAGAATACAACCCCAGTGGGGAGTAAAACCTTCGCTTTTCTTGGTAAGAAAGTGAAATTAAAGCAAGGCTTGGTTCGAACAGAGGAACACAATGCCCTGTGTCTGGTTAATGACTCTGTATTTTATTTTACACTCCCTTATCACCGTGGGATAATCTCATTTGAAAGCCTCTTCCATTAAGCTGGACAGGCAAGGCAGGCAGGCAGGGGAAGAGTTTATGGCCTGGTGGCATCTGGGCCATTTTAACCTAGTCACTGGATGACAGGGAAGGAAACACGGCAGCTGTTGTTTCTACAAGTGATGCTAAGGAAGGATACCTTTTGAATTGGGACACATCATTTGTGAAACTTTGTTAGTGCAGGATAGAAAATAGGAGAGCCTTTTGAATGAGTGCTGCTCCTAGTGCAGTCTCACTTGTTGGCAAGACGTTTCAGTAACCAAAAAACCTCTCTTTTCCCTGTCTTATTTGCCAGTGTGTTTCATCCTTCCCTAGGACCTGCTACTTAGGCTACTAACATACACGGCAAAATCCAGGTGCAGCCACTAAGGCCCTTGCTTGAGCTCCCCACCAGCAGTACGTCAGATGCTGGCAAGATAGAAAGGAGGGCCTTCCTGGATGATATGAACACCTGGGCATACTTGTTATGTTGGTTCTGCATGTAATCAACCAGGAACCACGTAGGTGAGCAGCCTGCATGTGCAGGAACACACATACACTGAACAGGAGTGGCAACTAGGCCCCGCAACCGTGCATGGCCCTGGAACCAAAATTCATGGGTGCCCAGCCCCTTCATGGGGAATTTTGTGGGTGCTCAAGCACCCAGGGCCCCAGAGAGCTGGCACCTATGTGCTTGAAGTCATACTGTTTTGGTTGCTCATCTGTGAATTAGGTTAAAGGAATCCCACTAGTACTGGGTTAGCAAGTTCCCTTTCAGTTCTGAGCTATTTAGGTAACTTGGGGTGAGGTTTTTTACCTCTGGGTAAGCTGTTTTACATCTTTGTGCCTCTTCCTCCTCTCACCCCCAGTAAAAATAGAACTATGTACTATAATTATGCATCTGTAACCCAGTATCAAAATGCTAAGATAAAGCATAAAAACTCTCATCAGCAGAATCTGGATGAATTAATTAAACTTGAATACTTGGCTCTTAACCAATTTAGGGATAATTCATAAAGATTACCATTTCAGAATTATTTTCCATTCATGGCACCACCAGTGGAGCACTCAAAATAACTTCACCACCTTCACATTCAATTTGGGTTAACGAGTCACAAGCAGGGGGCGAAAGCCCCAAAGATGGTTGTGTGAACTGGAATGTGTTTCCAGCTCATTAAAATTAAGATATACCTGTACAGGTAAATCAAAGTTTGGGAGCACAATGTTCACAGTTTTTGGAGCAGGGTGGGGGTGGGAATTTCCAATCCAAGTTTAAATGTCATGTCTCAAGAACTTATTTCCTTATCTTACTTAAACCTGCTTTGGGCCCTCACAGAAAGATTATCTAAGGTAGAAATTAGACGAACTAAAAACAAGCCCAAGATTTCTATTTACGTAACATGAACCACTTAGGCATGCAACAATGGAAAATGCAGCTAAAACAGAGAGATACACATTAGCCAAGCCTCTGTAGGAGAGAGTTTCAGGTATTGTGTCCAAGAAGGCTGCCAGCTATGATTCACCAGTCTTAATAAGTGTATTTGGTCTCTGAAGCATGCCACTTTTGAAGACCAGACCTTGCTAATGACCATGCCTTGGTTTCAAAGAAAGAAGAGAATGATGCATGGTTCAGCCACTACTCTTCATCCTCAATAGAAATAAGGGACTCTTAAAGTTCGAAGCACAGCAGTCAAAGTCCCTGCTGTTCTATAGTAATTGATGGGAAAGTCAAATGGTGGCGTGTGCCAAAATATCCAGGAGAATAGGCATGTTAGTGCAAACTCTTTGGAAACGCTTCTTTTAAAAGCTTTTTAGAGTTGCTTTTTCTAGAGATCGGAACATATGCATCTGCCTCTTGCTGAGCCAGGCAATTTGTCCATATAACTAAATATTGTCCTGTAGTGGCTTTCCAGGGTGATTTCCAGCATTACCTGGAGAATATTGGGACCTTTAGCAGGCATAGCATTGCAGGAAGCTGTGGATGAGGTTATATGGTACTGGGTTTTGGGTTTTTTTACCCCCAAAGAAGTAATGAGTACTAGCTTTCACTTTTAAAAAAATGAGTTTGCCTTTGACAAGGTAGAAGGGTTTTTTATTTTTTTAAAAAATGGAAAAATGTTCTTTTTAAAATGCTCATTGAGTTTTGTGCCCCGAGGTTATGCTCTGCAGTTATATCTTCAAACCTTTTTCTTCCCCTTGCCAGATTTTTTTTTTAAAAAATGTATCCTTTTTTTAAAGGTGAATATTCTTGCAGCATCATTGTGAGGTTCAAACTTTCGGAACTCTTGTGATGGTAATGATCAAATCTCAATGGACAGCAAGCATGATGTAATGGTGGCAGTTTTAACCTCCAAGGCAAGTAAACTTATGAGACTTCCTTCCCTCCTTTTGCATCTTGGTCCTTCGGTAGAAACTTATTCCTTGCCCCTGAGTGGGATTTGATGAGAAGCATGTAATACATGCTATCTTGAAATAATTCACTGCAGGTTTTATTTACAACCCATTTAATTCTGGATCAGGACATTTGGGTTTGCTTTAATTAAGTCTGAAGAGACTTCCTGTCAAGCTGGACCTATTAGTAAAATTAAAATTGTCATTGGAGTATAGAGCGAGTGCCAGGGTCCTGAGGCTTCCTGATCATCCTTTCCATTCTTTTTTCTTTTGTTTACCAAGCTGTTTGTGTGTGATATGGCATAGATGCATCTTCCTTTCAGTGTGATCAGGGCGCTCTCTCTCTCTCTCTCTCTCTCTCTCTCTCTCTCTCCCTCCCTCCCTCCCTCCCTAGTTCAGTCCAAAACTCCGGGGTCACACACATGCTCCATTTGCAACCAGATCACGGTCTTTGCTGCTCCACATCTGATGGAAAGCATGAAGAGTTTGATCTATAATTTACAGAGATGTTCGTCTGGGGAGCGGTTTGATGTGCTGGGAAATATAGACGCTACCAGCCTGGCTCTCTCTCTTCTTTTTAATTTTGAAAGTCTTTGCATCAAGGAAGAGTGTTGATGATAATATACAGCAGGCATGATTGGCTTCCCCAGGCACTGCCGCCACCACACACCTTCCTCTTCCCTTCTCCCCCAGAGAAAAATCCTGTGATGCTTTCCCTCTGCAGAGGCTTATTTGATCAAGGAGTAAGAGGAGGAAGGTGTCACACAGGATCAGCTGCCCCATTTCCAGCACTTCGGCTCCTCTCCCTCTTTGCTCCTCACGAATTCTCTGTAGCCTTTCAATAAATTGCTTCTCAACAGTCTTCTTTGGCACCCAGGCCTGGATTGAAAGGGGAAAGAGGGGGCATGTGCCCAGGCAGTGGGTGCAGGGGGTGCAAAGCAGCATTCTGTGTGGAAGAGAGAGGAGAGAGGCACAGTGCAGGTCCCACAATGCTGGTGCCAGACTCTTTTCAGGCACATCAAAATCTCACTTAGCCTGCCTCTTCCTTTGCAAATTTTGCCCCCAGTTCCTTCAGGTCAAATGTTGATGCTTGGGTGTGATAGTTACCAAGCCATCTAGTTTCTTTTGCAACAGGGCTGAGCATAGGTAAGTTTTTATAAGTTTGAGCTTTGAGAAACTGCAGTCACCGCTTGCCACTGGAAGTGTGAGATGGATCCACAGAGCAACAGAAACATTAGACACATTATCCAAGAGTTTTTGTTGTAGTATGAACAGAATTACTCCTTGTGGTTACATGGACTTTGGAAGTCTTTGAGCTATTGCTATAAGTTCACATCACAGATCTTCAGCATCAATATATTTGTTTCCACAGTGCATTTTCAAGATTCTTGCAGCCCTCAGGTGCATCTTCAGTAGTGTTTGGGATTGGGTTTTTTTTGTTTTTTTGAAACTGTATAGGACAGGAAGTCAAATAGGGAATTATATTTACAGGTAGGTAGCCATGTTGGTCTGCTGTAGTCGAAACAAAATTTAAAAATTCCTTCCAATAACACCTTAGAGACCAACTAAGTTTGTTATTGATACAGGTATGAGCTTTCATGTGCATGCACTTCTTCAGATACACTGAGACAGAAGTCACCAGACTCTCTCACTATATATAAGGGTCTGGTGACTTCTGTTTCAGTGTATCTGAAGAAGTGTTCATGCACACGAAAGCTCATACCAATAACAAACTTAGTTGGTCTCTAAGGTGCTACTGGAAGGATTTTTTTTTTATTTTGTAGGAAATTATATTGTTGTAGCTGTTGGAATCTCTCCTCAACAGATTGTATGGCCATGTCTAGGACAGCATAGTAGAAACCTACTTTAAAGTCTGGTTTGGATCTTGTGGTGCCTCTTCTTGGGCCCATATTCAAACTGCTGTTTCTTTCTCCTTTTTCTAACTTGTTCTGTCCCAAAGTTTGGTAGTATTTCTTTTCTGGCTCCTTTGCAATCTCAGTAGCATCTATAAAAATTGTCGAAAATCCTCATCACACCTGCAGCCCACAATATACTTCTTGGTCACTTGCAATTGGCTTGTAGCTGAATTTAAATCAGTTTCCTTATTTTGTAGTAACTTGCTTGTAAAATTGCCTTCAAAAAGGATGTTATGCCATGTAACAAAGGGATACCATAAACTTGAACTTGCAGCAAGGGGCTTAGCTTCAATTCAGGAAGTATTTTCAGATAAACCTTTTAGGCTTGTTTCATCAAAAAATTCTATTAAAGCATTATATATACTACTAAGATGATATATCAGTGGTTTCGAAGCATCGATTCAGCTCTCCCATATATTGTTTCGCTCAATGGCTTAACAGTTATGCCTAAGTCTGATACATGGCTACTTAGAATTTGATGAGAAATAATTATAGATCTGTTGAACCAAACTGAAGAAACTAGATGCTTCCAGACAACATTTAGTAGCATCATTGAGACCAAGTTTATAGTGTGTGCATTGCAGGGCACAAAAAAGGGACATATAGGTTATGCCTAGGACTCTTTTCTGTGCCATTTTCTTTGCCTTTCATGCTGCTCCCATCATCATAACCTTGACCACACAAATCTCAGTTGGTAATACCACTTGCTAAAGCTGTCCAGGAAGAGTTTCTGTCATAAAGGCACCTGTAGTCTCCATTAGTGGAACAAATCCAAATGAACGTTCTCTTGTGACACTCTCAGGTTCAGACATCTCATTATCTGATGGTTTGATTACATCAACATAATGTACAATCATTGTCAGTTGTTCAATATAACTAACATCAGGTGTGCGGTCCAGAATAATTGAGTAGTATTTGGCTGAGTTTGCATGTGCTAAAGTTTTCTGCTTTATAGTACCTGCTAGAAGCTGTAGAAGCTAATTTGGGATATATTTTCCTAGGTAGTGAACCACTGTTCCTTGATCTTTAACTCTGCACAAATGTTCATACATGATAGGATCAACAAGGGCTAGATATTATATAAACTTCAAAAAAATTCCATTGCTAGCACTATACAACTTTTCAGTTGTACCATGGAATGCTAAGTTTTGCATATCAAGAACTCTGACCAATGCAATCAAGCATTCCAAGATTTATAGCCAATATTGTTATCCTTATCTAATTTTCTGCTAGTTAATATCATCAATTGTTTTTCCTTTAGGTAAGTGCAATTCAACTTCTCTTCAGCTCCCACTTTTCACGACATCCTCTTTTTCCTCTGTGTTTTCCAGAAATATCTCCAATTTCTGAAACTTCAGTCCTAGAGTTTATATCGTTTGTAGTAGGAGCACCACATTCAGCTCCCTCAGTACTAGTTTCAGCAAGAGTATTGTCATATTCTTGTTCTTCAGTTGCTTTCTGTGTGCATAGGTATTTCAAAAAGTACCCCTCTTGCTTTGCTTGCTGCTTAGCTTTGTCTGCCTTTCATTTGCAGTACTGAGCTCCAGATGGTCATTTTTTTATCAGTCATAACTCATTAGAAAAATGAACACATTTTCTGAAAAAGCAGTTGGATGACAAAGGTGAGAAAGAGTTTCTCCCCCACGTACTCTGCCATCCACCACTGAAATATATTGCCTTCTTCCTGGGATGGGCCAGGAGGCGGACCTTTCTACAGAAGCCTGCATGGGACACAAAGCCTGCATCATTCCGGCCACTTCCAGGTGCTGCTCTTGATGGGGCAGAAGGCAGCAGTGCAGACTCCCCCCCCCCCAGGGTATAATATGGAATGTGGTTTTGGAAAGTGGGGATTTAATAGAGGACACCTGACTTGAACCTCTCCTCCAGCCCTAACTATGACTGGAGCACAAAACCATGTTCAGTCTTCAAGGCGCGAGATCCAGTATGCATGGAAACATCATACAAGGATAAAAATAGCACCATGTACAGAGCTGTGGTCATATTAGTTCGAAACACAAACAGGAGCAGCTAACGGCAGGATGGAAGACACCTGAAAATGAAGGCTAGCCAGGCAACCTCAAACTCAGGAGCAAATAGCAGACTAACGTCTAGTCCCGTGGTTCCCAACGTGAGGCACACACCCCACAGGGGGGCAATTTGATTTTTAAAGGGGGCAATTTGAGAATGAGTTATTAACAGTTAATGGCTTTTTAGGCTTCCTCCACATGAATAGGAGTTCACTTTTTGTATACAGTTTTTTCTTTTTTCTCTTTATCTTGACTCTTTTTTCTTTCATTTTTCTTCTTTGTTTCTGCTGTAAACGATCTTCTATGTCTTTATTTTAAATCAATAAAGATTTTTTTTATTTTTTAAAAGGAGTTCGCTTTTAGAATAATAAGAATTATATGTCATGGGGGGGGGGTGGTCAGGATTTTAGAGATGCTTAGGTGAGGCATGACCAAAAAAAAAGGTTGGGAACCACTGGTCTAGTCTAACATCTCCTGCAACTCACACAGTTCCAGAGCCCCCAGAAACCCAGTCCATGAGAAGCAGGGTCCTAGCATGTGCCCCTGAATGTTACGCTGACCTAAGGAGAATATTACAGCTGCTGCCATTTCCCTCCCCCACAATCTCCATCCACATGGCACTACATATTGGAACAGTGTTATTCCGAGAACTGTTTGGGGTCTGGTGCATAAAATGAGATTTGAAAAATTCACTTCCGACCTACCTCTCTGGCCTGGTGCAAGGCATCCCTAAGGCATATGGGCTGTGACATTGCGGAGGTAAAGTAGCTATTAGGAGCACTGGAGGATGTTTGCTGATTCAACAGCACCTCTGACCATTTTATATGCTATGCCTTTCTTTCCTGCCTTGTGGGAGTAGGGTTTCAAGACTAAAACCATGCCCTATCTTTCTCTTCACGTGTGGTGCTAGTAATAAATGACTGCTTAACTAATATAACCCCACTGCTGTATCTCAGTTACCTAATAAGCTGTAATTGCCTGTATTGACTTGTAAGACTTGTAAGGAAGGTGAGGGAGAGGCGATGTTGATGGGGCAGCCCAGCCTGCCCACAGTTCCTCTAATAGAAAACCTCCCAGAATGGCTGAAGACTTCGTAAAAGGGTCATCTGTTATTCCTTGCTCTTTAACCTGCAAGCAGTTCAATTAACTTTAAGTTTAGAACATCTCCTCCTCACACCCCCCCACTTGATAATCCCAATAGTCTTGATGGCCCTAATGAAAGCCATTAGCATCATCGACTTCACATTATGCTAAACTGCCACTGCACTTTAATTTCAGCTGCCCAAAACACCCCAGTTCCTGCTGCAGATATTGGCCAAAGTAAGAGAAGATGTGACAGCACCATATAGCAGCCAGAGCATTGGTCTTGGGTACCCTCATCCAAATCCCCACTCAGGCAATAAACCCATCATGGGAGTTTATGGTAGCCATACTTTCCCTTAGCCTATTTTAGCTCAACAGATTTTTGAGAGGATAAAACACCTGGGAGGAAAGAGGTGGGATATAGGTAGGGATAGGGAAGAAAGGTGACTCAGTTCACATTTAAAGGCACACCTTTCTAATTCACACTTTCAAGAACCCGAAACATGAGAAAGACAAGAGCAACGCGAGAAGCACAAGAACCAAAATGCAGCTGTTCTTTGAAATTTGCACTTCTCAGAATTTTGTGATGCAGTTTTCCAACCAAAGTAATTGTTGGGTGTAGTGAAGGGTTAACCTTCTGTGTCTCGAGGCTGAGAGGAGGCGCTTACAAGGGAAATAAGCCAGGACATGACGAAAGCAGCTTGGAATGCTGTGAGCTGAGTGAAAAGTGAAAGCAGTTTTGGTTACGCAGCTGCAAACAGAGGGAGAAGATGCAGCTTGAATCAGATGGAATTTCTTGATTGTAAATATGCTACTTTTGAGCAAATAAAGTGATATTAGGACAGAAGAAACGTGTGGGACTTGTTTTACTGCCCTTTCAACACGGACGCTGTGCAATTCTGCTAATTGCTTTACGACCTGCAGAGGCGCGCAGGGGAAGCGTGCCGGATGCCGAACAATAAAGCAATAAATCTACCTAACAGTAATGCATACAAAAATGCATATGTTGGGGATAAGGTGCCCATAAAAATACACACAGTAGTAAAAAAAATAACATTAAAAAATGCATTATTTTAGGGGGAATTGCTTTACAGAAATGTGCATGTTAGGCAAAATTGTATACAAAAATGTGTATAATAGGTGAAATATTCATATTTGCATTAAAATGCTGGTGCATTTTCATTAAGACTGGGGGTGGAATTAGCAAAGTGCTGTAGGGATGTGCAGAACTGAACTTAAGATTGGAAAAATGAGAAACCGAAATGGACACTCTTGCCCATCCCTAGATACAGTGTGACAAATAAATAAATGGTGCTTCTCTCACATTATAAGAACTACCCAGCAGTTTAACATGGGAGCATCCTGTAAGATTCCTAGTAGAAATACATGGATTTCGGGTCCGTACAGCACAGTAATTGTCAAGCCAGCCTTCCCCTTTTATAAATCCATGAAATTTGTTTATTAGGAGCATGTGAAATGAAAATGTTAAATCCTAGCCTAAAAAAGAGAAACAAGGAAAGGTCTTGGGAAGTATTGGCACCTCATGTAAATGCAGGTCTCTTGGGAAGGTATCCACACACACCCTTAATTACTGGAGAGTCTCTGTTTTCTTTGCCAATGCTTGAATTAAACCAGTTTGTGCCTTCACTTTACTTAAGCAGCAGTTTCAAACAGCATTCCAGAAGATGCCTGAATTTAACATTTGAAGGTGCAT